TGCCAGTGTGAACATTTGATGCTAGAAATGTCTAGCGAGTACTTAGTGCAGCTCACAATTCTGAGGGTTCTGTCGTGGAACTGGGGCGTCTCTCTGCTCCCCTCGAGGACGTTCTCTTTGACTCGGGTTATTTGCAAGTCACTCTCAGGTCTCTCTCATCTCCTCATTGAGGCGGCCGGAGGTCACGTTCATCGCCACGGTCTCTGCCGTGCGGGTCTGTCTGCGCCCGGCGTGCCCCGCTGGACGCCGCGTCCCGGCCCCGGCCGCTCGCGTGGACACGGTGGGCACAGCGGCCAGCCCACCGCCCAGGCACCGCGACCCTCAGGCTTCACCCTGAGTGCCACGCGCCCCTTCTGCGGCCGCACGTGCTCGTCTAGCGGGGCGTCCCATGGCGTCCCTGAGGCCGCTCGGCGATGGGCCGAAGGCCCCACGTGGAGGTCCAGTCTGCCTTCGGCTCTGGGGGCCCGCACGCGGGACCCCCTCCTTGTCCTTGCTCAGTGCCCCTCACCCCGTAACCTCCTGCCCTGATGCCGCTTTCTTTAACCCGCGCGTTTCCTCCCCCGTCACCACCCGCGCCTTCTACTTAAAGGGGGCTGTGTCCAGGAGAGGGAGGGCACCGGGGACCGTGGCGGAGCCCGGCGGCTGTAATGGCAGAGCTGGGAGCGCGGCAGACGCGCGGGGCCGGGCGGCCTTGGATGCCGCTGCTTCCAGCCATCTCACCCGGCTGTGCCTCGCGGTTTCTTCCGCCTGAGCCTTGCTGTGACTGGTCCTATGGGTTCACGCGTTTCATCAAAATGTGACACTCGTCACGCATCATTTCTTCACGTATCTGTCCCTTCGCTCTCCCCTCCCCTCCCGAGAGTCCGGCTGCACGAGTGCTGGACACTAGACAAGACGTCACGGGCTGGTAAAGCTCCGTGAACTTGTCAGACGTTTTTTCCTGTGTTTTATTTTGAACAGTTTCTATTGCAGCGTCTTCAAGTCCAGTTTTCTTCTGCAGCGTCCAATCTGCCGCTAACCCCAACCAGCGTGCTTCCCCTTCCAGATACTGCATTTTTCATCTAAGTAAGTTCCGCTCAGGGGAAGCAGGGAGTTGGGTCACAGCAAAAGAAAGTGTGTCAAGGGAAAACGGGTTTGTTGAAAGGGTGAGCAGAGGGGAAGCAGCCAGGAGGGAGGAGAAAGGGCAGAGGAGACAGGGAGGGGCTGTGTCCTGAGCTCGGGAGACGAGCGCCCCGACTGCCGTGGGCCTGCGGCACCTGAGCGGGTTGGCGGGACGGCCACCTGCGACTGCGGCGGAGGCTGCGCGGAGGGTCGGGGGGGCTTCTGAGACGCCAGGGACGCGGGATCCTGCAGACACAGCTGAAGGCGGAGACGTGACAGTGGACAGTGACGCTCTCGGCGATGGGCAGACACGACCTAACTGGCATCAGACACTTTGGATTTGAAGACTTAAAATTGACAGGTGCCTCTAACCCACAGGATGACCTCAGCGGGTCAGCTCCTGGCAAACGGCACGTCCGCCCCTGCCACCGGCACAGGGTGCGCGTCCCCAGCCCCGGCACACGGCGCCCGCAGCCCCAGCTTCCCGGGAGGGGGATGAGCTGAGGAACAAGACCCGCGGCCACTGTCTGCAGACAACGCCACGCTGCAGAGCCCGAGCCGGCCCATACCTGCACGCACAGCAACGTGGCAGAGTGAGCCACAGACACCAAGGCCGCAGAAAGCCGAGGACACAGCTAACACAGCAGCGTCAGGGCCTTACTGGACACAGGGTGCTCAACATGTTTGTCCTCCAAACCAACTGCCAGCTGCTTAAAACTGGCACCATCACCCCACACCTGGACAGCCTACGGCTGCTGCCCCTTACTGCGGCCGCCTTCCAGGGGGCCACAGTCTCCCCCAGCTCTGTGGAAAGCTCTGTCCTGCTCCCCTGTGGCCAGCTGCTCTCTAGAGAGACACCCGGCCCTCAGAGACTGGCTCGGGGCCTGAAGGGGCTGGCGGGCAGCTCTGCAGCGCGGACCCAGGCACGGTGCAGCCCCTCGTCTGCGAGCCTGCAGCCCCCGACTCCGTTTCCCACACTCCGTGGCCCCGGGCCGCCTTCCTCGCCCCACCGGCTGTCCACCTCCCAGCCTCCATGCGGGCCGCGTCCACACCAGCTGACCAGGAGCCCTCCGAGGGCACCTAGGGAAGCAGCCTAGGCCCCCTGTGCACGCTGCACCCGCCTGCCCACGGGGGGCCGTGGGCACGGACCACGCGGCCATAGGTGGGGCGCTGCGCCGTGGCGGAGACGCCCGGAGCGGAACGGGCTTACCGTGAACTGCTCCTGCGACCGGTAGTTCTCATCCAGGTAGACGCGGGCCCGGTTAAACTCCTTCATCGCGTCGCTCGACAGCAGTTCTCTGCAATGAGAGAGGGCGCTGTGACCGGACGCCACTCACGTGCCACGTCATTTACAGCTGTGCGGACGGGGCATGGACGCTGGCCTGGGCGCCGCGCCTGACATCGCCCTGAAAACACCGCCAGCCGGGGTGCAGGAACCAGACCCGCTGTGTGTCCCTGGGGAGGGCACAGGCCGCCCCCACCGGCTGCGGTCCCCACGTGGCCCTGAGGCCCAGACACTGATAACCGCCCAGGGCCACGCCCCACGTGTGGCCCCACGGTCTGTGGGTCCCCTGGTGGTTTTAGTCCCCACGGAGAAGTCAGCTCTCCAGGCCGGTCGCCCTGCACCAACGCCCCCCTGGGCCCAGGCGGTTCCGCCCGTTCGCTGCTTGCAGGAGAAAGCTGAGGACCGGGCCCCAAGCTGAGGACCGTGGCTGAGGCGTCGCAGCAGGAAGGAGGGTCTCTGAGCCTCGCGAGGCGGGTGCCGGCCCTGCTGCTCGGCTCGCTGCCGTGAGCTGTCACCAGGAAGGCCTCGCGTGGAGGCCTGTCCGCCGCCACCGTCAGCACCACTGGAACGGAGCCCGCCGAGCACGGGGCCCGACAGCAAAGCAGATCGGTGACGGGGAGCACGGGCCCCCCCTCACCGGCCTGGCCCCGAGCTCAAGAGCGGGGCAAGGGCACGGGCGCCGTATGACACCCGCACGTGGGCCAGGAAGAGAGGGACCGGCCGCCAGGCAGGAAGGGGTGTGGAAAAGCGGAGGGAGAGGACGAGCCCGGAGGGCACCGAACTGACCGCCAGACCTTGCCTGCCGGCGAGGACAAGCCTCGAAGTGTCTGAAGGACGAAAACGAGGTTCAGACTCCAGCAACACAGGACATTCGTGATGTCCACTATCAGCTCAAAAATGAGTCTACGGCCACGCCACCCTGAACGGGCCCGATCTCGCCTGATCTCGCAGGGTCGGGCCTGGTTAGTCCTTGGATGGGAGACCACCCAGGAAGACCAGGTGCTGTAGGCGTAAAAAATAAAAAGATAAAAAATAAATCACTTGACGTGTGAAACAACAAAGTATGACCCACGATCCACAAAAATGCAGTCAAGAGAAACAAACCTGCAGAGAACAAAAATGATGGAATCCCCTGAAAAATTCCCCGAAACGGCCACTGCGGATACAATCGAAGAGTCAAAAGAAACGACGGGAGGGAAGATGGGACATTTAAAAGCCACGCAAGAAAATTCTTGAGCTGAAAGCCCAGGGTCAGAAGTAATGTCACTGGAGGGGCCTGAAAGCAGATCATGACTCAAGGAAAACGAGTGACCAGGAGTCACAGCACCAGAACCCGTCCGGGCCGAGGGGACCTGTGCGAGCACCGCGGCCCGGGGGGGAAGCCGGCATCAAGGACGAGGAAGAAGGGACAGACAGCTGGGGACGACGGACAAACGTTCCCAAACGCAATGAACACGGTGACCTGCAGACTGACGCAGCCGGAGAGCCGCGAGCAGACCGCACGGCGCACGGCGTCATCGAGTGGCCGAGACCCAGCGGCAGCGACGGGCGCCGTGGCTGGGGGAGGGGCGCGTCGCACGGAGAGCGGGGCCAGGACGGCGGCCACCTCCCTCAGAGGTGGCACGAGGACGGGACGGCGGGGCGAGAGCCTGCGGGACCCAAAGAACCGCTGAGAAGCTGGCGATCTTTCCGCTGACAGCAGACGCCTCGAACACGCAGACCGAGACCTTCCTCAGGGAACGGAGGCTGAGGAACTGCGCTGGAGGGCGTCGCGCTGAGGGGACCCGGCCGCCAAGCAGCACCAGAACCCGTCCGAGCCGAGGACTGTCAAAGACGAGCGACGCGTTCTCACGCTTCTTAACCTTTTCAGAAGGTGACTGCGCGCAACGAACTGCCCACGCGCGTCCCGCACGAC